AAATTAAAATCTTGCCGCTCAATTCTTAACATATAATCCAAAACATTCCCATTAGTTCCGAGTTCTTTCATGGGCAAATTATACTTAGTATACGATGAAAGAGAAATATCGATCATATAAAAATACACATGCACTATGCTTTTGAAAATGCGCGTCAAAATGACTGTGCTTATAATGAGGCAGCGGCCCGGCACGGAGACATTCGGCGTTTTAAAACCCGCTATGTGGAGGACCAATGACTGCTAGTGAATTKAATTTATTATACAGTCAATACTCAGATGCACTTAAGAGTATCTCGATGGGGTGTTCCTTGACCGTTGACGATAATAAAACGGCGTCTTGACGTTTATCGGTTAATTTTACTAGTTGACGCTCTGCTTGTTGACCAGCAAGAAATTCAAAATCGAATATTAGCAAAGTTATTCATTATGTATATGATAATGTACGATTTTAGACTCAGAATAACATTATTCTTCCCTTTCTTACACTGGTAAACATTCTTTTATAGATGTACGTTTTGTTTAGTATTCATAGTATTTTTGTCATTCTTTTTTAAATTCGAAGAAGAACATCTAGAACCAGGGTACAGGAAATCAAGTCAAATAAAACATTATACCCGAATTTAAGACCTTCAACTATTCATAGGCTATGTGCCTAACAGATTTGTAAAGACCAAAAAAATTCGAAAAATCTTTAATGTCAAAAAATCTAATTTATCATATAATTATCTATGAAATACTTATATTTCTCCATTACGTAAAATTGATATTTTCACTAGTGAAAATAACATATTATTTTCACTAGTGAGTGAAAATAACACATTCGAGGTTTCTCTATATAGTGGAAGAAAGAAAAAAGGTATTTTAAGACATAACTTGCTTTCATATTTAATTATATGATAAACAGAATATTACATGGTCTCTTGGAGATACAAATTTTATCTTCTCGTGTTGAAAATCACGCTCACTCGTGAGAGATCTTTTCAACACTCGAAGATAAAATCCGTATCTCCGCGCGCCCATGTAATATCCTCTATTTAATACATAGCACATATCGATAACTGCGGGGCTGACTGTATTCTGGGAACGGTAAGTTCCACGTAGTGGTTCTCGTTTGGAATGCTATCTGATCAAACTTTATATTTTTAATGGTACACACAATTCTTTTTATGACCTTTCAATAAACTCGATTTGCCATGAAACCTACAACTGCACCAGCTAGCATTACTAACTCTTTATTTCTTTTTTTTTTTTTTCTTTTTTTCTTTTTTTTTTTTGTGTGTGTGGGACATATTTTAACAAATTCCTCCTTCCTCATTAAAAGTAGCTTTGTGTAGCTTCTAAGTCTCTTGTGCATTATACCTTTTGTTTTCACAAATAATTGTTGTGGTTCAGAAATATCTACTATTACATACAATTAGCCAGTAAACATAAACTATTAGAGTGGTTTTCCGTCAACTATGAAAACACTTTAAGTCCAATAGTTAGTAGTAGTTTGTAATGTACCAATTCTAATAGTTTAGGTTGTATCCGATTGATATAGGTATAAACATATTCATCACAAAAATAAGTGTTTTTATTTTAAATTTTAATGGTCATTTTTGTTATGGTAACTAATTAAACTAAACGTTTATTTATTCAAACTAGTCTGTTGTTTGTTRGCTGTTCATTTATAGTTTATATGTCTAAAAGTTATATTGACTAGTCTATTATTGCTACTAACTAGTTGGTTTATTTGTTTTCATGGTTGACGGAAAACCACTCTATATTACTACTTCTCTGATTATGTTTCACGGGGTAAATTTGCGTTTAATCTACCCCTTAGTTAGGTGAACACTATAACCTAGTAAAACAATTAGACCACTTGGCCCGTCGTGTGGACAGAGTAGATCGCTACGCTCCGGYTCGTGAGAGATTTTTCAACACTCGAAGATAAAATSCGTATCTCAGCGCGMCCATGTAATATCCTCTATAGCTTTTATGTAAACATATCATAATTATTTAATGATATTTCTTAATCAAGACATAATTTTTAKATCCTTAAACATGTGAGGCACAACACTTTTAAACTAAGTTATCTGATATATATGTAAATTAAAGAAATCAAATGGGATGTGAAAACTAGCTATCGGTTGAAAATCATCTTCAAAAATCATCATCTTGGGTGTCAGTAAAAGTCATTTTCAGAATTTTATGTGATTTTCTGTCTTTCTGATGTTTTTTGGTTGTTTTGGTTGTGTCTACAATTTATGTCCATATATTTTGCTGTATTGCAAAGACGATATAAGTATTTTACACTAGAATAATTGATTCACATTGCAAAAGAAGCCATTAATTTCACAATTTCATGCGATTTTCAACTCTTACTTTTTATCGAGGGTTGTTGGTCCATACTTTTCGTCAAGACAAAGTACACAGATCGTTATTYCCCACTATGTATTGCATAGACTACATCAGCTTTTTCGTGTTTTGAAGTGGAACGTGAATTATTTTGCGTACTTCGCAATAATCATATTCCCGGATGTGCAAACGCGTCGCAGTTTTAAAAAAATTGGCGGGAAACTTTCCGTGTTTTCCCCCTTTGTTTACCACGTTTTTCCTACCTTAGCAAACAAACAAAAGCGTCATTGTCAATATAAATTGATTGATACACTCGGCTAAAATAATGAATTAGTGGATTCGATGCACAAGTTCGTCCATCAGTGAAATGGGAATATTCACGTCATTCTCAGCAGGTTACTACAAAGCTGGCTAGCTAACAAATTTAGTTAATTCAGGTACACGTGAGACAGTGCATTGTGAACCGATCATAAAGTGAACCCTCTGGCACACTCTATGAGTCAGTCCACGTGAATGGAGTGAAAACAGAAACCTCTGCTACACGTGAATTTATTGAAGGTGTCACCCAGACTAGAGTCAGATCAGATAAATAAGTCATAATTAGATAAGATATTTCAAAATAAAGAAGTTTTTCAACTTTTGACTATACAAAGTGCACATGAACAATTAGAAAATCATCTTTACTAAAAGGCAAATTGATTCTAATCATTGATTTGAAGAACAAAAAAGTTGCTTGAATTTTATTTTCTATGAGTCAGTCCACGTGAATGGAGTGAAAACAGAAACCTCTGCTACACGTGAATTTATTGAAGGTGTCTCCCAGACTGGGAGTCAGATCAGATAAATAAGTCATAATTAGATAAATTAGATAAGATGTTTCAAAATAAAGAAGTTTTTCAACTTTTGACTATAAAGACTATAAAGTGCACATGGAACCCTTTTAGAAAATCATCTTTAATAAAAGGCAAATATGATTCTATAATCATTGATTTGAAGAAGAAAAAAGTTGCTTGAATTTTATTTTCTGAGTTAAAGGCATTTGAAAATTGAAAATGCTAATGAAGTGAAGTCAAGGAAGGCTTCATTATTTATACGTGTCATGAAATTAAAGTGCACGTGAACCCTTTTAGAATTTTTTTCTGAAATTGTTTTAAGTTTGACTTCAAAAGACTTTTYCATTATTAGATAGTGCATGCACAAATTCACGCAGTAGTCATGAAATTAAAGTCAAGTTGAAAAACTCCTTTATATTTTTTTTGGTTTGAAAATTCGGCTCCTGTTCATCACTGCCGGTTGACTTCGTCATTTTTCCGCTCGCACGTAAAGTGATTTACGAGTCTCTGCCTTCTTCTGCGGAGTGACTCTCCATCTTCGCTTACTTCATTTATGAGAATTGAAGAAAATAGACCTTTATCATATAATTATCTATGAAATACCTATATTTCTCCATTACGTAAAATTGATATTTTCACTAGTGAAAATAACACATTCGAGGTTTCTCTATATAGTGGAAGAAAGAAAAAAAGGTATTTTACAACATAATTTGCTTTCATATTTAATTATATGATAAACAGAATATTACATGGTCGCTTGGAGATACGAATTTTATCTTCTCGTGTTGAAAATCTCAGCACTCGAAGATAAAATCCGTATCTCCGCGCGCCCATGTAATATCCTCTATTTATTATAGCCTTCAGCTAAGGTCCATTTCCACTAACGTGATTCAGGCACTTTGAGTAATTTATTTTCTTTAATGTTTTTATTTTTTATCGTATTTTTGCCTTTGCTTTTGAGCTTTAACGACGTCATTAAATTAAATTGTAAAGACAAAAATACGATAAAAAAAACGTCTATAAAAGAAAAGAAAACTTTAGGGACCAGAGTATCAGACAATATTTGACATCATATGGTCCCCGATCACCGGGCAACAACGCGGGAAAACATTAAAAACAATCTTAAAATTATCCCGTCACTGAGTTCATGGAGGCCCAAAAAAAAAACGTCTAAACAGATATATATATATATATGTTATTTACCGGCTGGGAGCTCCGTATAGGACTGAAACACTGCAGGTCTTGACAGTACATAAAAGACCGAGGGCAGTGTTTCCATATACGGACCGACCTATAGCCGGTAAATAACATTTTTGTTTTTTTTATTTGYATTTTATGCAACTTTGCTCGAAGCCTAGCTGCAGGATACCGTCAGACCGGGCAGATCGTGAAAAAGCGGACAGCGCGCTAGCCAACCACAGCGTGCGAATGACTGGGATACCGAACCGAAAAAAAATAAATTATTTGATTTGATTTGAACGTTTATTCAGCCGCCTTACCATTTGAATCTGTTAGAAAGTTTTAAATCCCCGGCGATGATGTAATAAATGCCCGGCCCTCCCGGCCGGTGTTGGAAAGCCGGGTTTCCGATTATGGGGCTTCACTGTGAAGGGAGTCTTCATCAGTTTAGCTTTTCGATCAACTTTGRAAATAAACGTTTTTTTGATGAGGATTCATCACATTATTTGAAGAATATTTTTGATGAAAATGAATATTTTTGTACTTTTTATTATTTTTATTTGAGAATTCAAATTAAGAAAATGAGTCAAAAATCATTTCCTACAATGCCTTGCGCGCGTCATAGYTTATCCTCATCCGGGACATTCATATAATCCTTGAGGTAAAAAAATGGCGGCACCTAAYAAAATCACAGATTCTCGAACAGAATTGGCCGAATTGATAAAAAAACGAGCAGAAATTGCCGTAAGTATCTGCTATAACTACAATCCCATCATTCTGGGTCGCCAAATTTATGTTTGCAACTGTTAAAAAGTGAAAAAGGACTAATCTTGTTGTGTKATTCGACGAAGTGAATATTTGATGACGTTGTTTTGTGTCAGTCGCGTCACTTGGATATTTCACGCGTACAGTTTGATTTTAGAGACAATAGATTACATTATCTATAAAAGATATGAAGTATTTTGTAAAGTCCATCGAAATGATGGATCATTTTTGCGAATTTGATGTGAATTCTGGCCTAGAAACATGTAGAAATCAAGAATTCTCGTGAAAATGTAGTGAGAGTTGATATTTCAATCAGCGTAATATGAATTAGAGGTTTCGCGCTAAAATTTCAAAACGCAATRATCTTTCTAGATTTTTGGATACAAGCTATTTAGAAAAAAAAACAGTCCAGWAAATCCAATTATGACTCAGAATATTCATTAAATTAATTTATAAAACAAAAATAAAATTGCTAAAGTAAGATCTTAACTTTTTACCCTCATGATGTACATAGACTTTCACAAATCGCAAGTCTCCAGGAAATCTTACAGGAAATCTAGAGAAAAGTAGAAATGTTTTGTGTCTAAAATATTTAGCTATCTCAAGTTGTGTATTATTATTTGGKGTCGGTATTCACACGTACTCAAAGATTAATCACTGTGTTAGAATTGATATATCCTTATCCTTGATAAGATATGATCCACTGGYATCCCCTGCAAGCTTGTTTATGTTTGAAAATAAACAGTAATGCATTCAGTGTAAATTGTCTCCTTCATAGGAAAGCCTAGCAAATCTTGAAAGACAAATTTATGCTTTTGAAGGAAGTTACCTGGAGGACACCCAGTTATATGGAAACATTATTCGCGGTTGGGATAGATTATTAAGTAACAAGTAAGGACATTCAAATACAATAGTATATATGATCAAAAAATAATGATAGACACAACATCCAATAGCCCTTTGCAGCTAARGTTGCGCAGRGGACCTGTGGMTKTKCACCAAGCTARGTAGAACTGCTTAGTAGRTGCGCTTGTTTCTGTAGTAAGGGTTGGCCTTATTAACATTGCGGGTTTTAACTTYGCTGGAACCTTAAAATGTGGCCCTTATGATAGGGTGGGTGTGGCTATAATGTGGGGGTCCACTATTTAGTTTCATTATTTTATATGATAAATTCCAGTTTGTGCTGTTCATAGTCTTTGGATATTATTTCACTCTATATAAGTGGACTATAAGAAATAGTTTTGTTTTGCAGAACTACTAACACCAAAGTTGAAAGAAGAAACCGGAAGTTTAAGGATGCGGAAAGACTTTTTTCCAAGTCCTCCATCACATCACATGCGGTAAGAATTGTATTGAAATGCCACCCATTTATTTCCTATTATTTACTAATGCTCTAGAATACCAAAAGCTATGACATTGTACATAGCATATCTGGCCAAATTTTAACTCCCTTTCGCCACTCAGATACATGTGTAACTTTTAGTTTCAATGTTAATTACAAATTGTACCACTTCAATCATGGGCAAAATGCATTTTSGCATGATAAACATTTACCACATACTTTGAAGTTAAAACTTGTGTTTGTCATAATCTTTGAAGGCCATAGCTGCTGGTGGGGGACTTGCAGAGCCTCAATCTGAAAAAAGTAAGTTTTGTACATGTTACATCCCTTATGAAAGTTGACTATTCCTGTTTTGTTTTGTTTTTTTGTTGTGTTGTTTTTTTCCTTTTGTTTGTCGTTGTTTGTTTTTTGTTGTTGTTGATTTTGTTTTGCTTTGTTTTATTTGGGTGATAGCATCACCCGGCCTCTTTTACATGATTTTGTTTAAATTGTTGAAAATAAGAATTTCATCTTTATAAGCAAAGCATTACCTTTCATTGTCGCTTTATGTTGTACGTGTATGAATAGAAGTATTCTAATTTAGAGATGTTGTTTAATTGGTTCAAATGTTGTTTTGTTTAACTCTTCTTAGTTTGTTTTGATTGTTTGGTTTTTCTTTGTTTTGTTTTAATTGGATTTGTTTTGTYTTGTTTATTGTTTTGTTCAAATCTTGATTGCCCTTTTATTTCAGAACTTTTGATTTTTTTTTATTCCAAAATCTGCTAACTAGTTTCTAAATATTATACATTCCCAATTATATGAGATTATAATGATCCCATTAAAGAGTTCTCAATACACATATAGTGTAGAGCTAATTATGTATGCATATTTCACAATTATTAATTATGATTTTTTTTGCAGAAGAATCMATTGAATCTGATGTAAACAATCATCTTCATGCGAGTGAAAATCATCACCAYGTATCACACTTGGGCAAAGTACATAAAGGTAAATTAACAGTCTTCTTAGCGGTTCCCTGCGGCATCTTGAAAGGTAGTCGTGCCTTTGCATCAAATTGAGATGACCATTGAGCAGCGATAGAAACCTTCTTTTACACCTACAGACAATTATTCACAGGTATCTACATGTATCATTGCACGCTTAACGGTTGTCTCGCTTCGATGTGAAGGCATGGATTTCCAGGATTTTGCCAGAACTTGAATAAATTACACTTGGCTTTCATGAAAGCTATATAATATGACATATTTTGGTCTTTTATCCTTCATTTGACAAAATATTGACCAGATCAAAGCAAAATACACTGCATTTCAATGCATTTCTTTCGTCATGGTTGGTACTAAAACAACTCTCCCCAGATACTGTACCTTAAAGAGACATGGTCCACCATGAGCATCCCTTTCGAAATTTTTGCTCATGTTTGAAGATAAAAATACATCAATTAATATAAGCAAAAACGTACTCTCAACTCTTAACTCCAGAAATTAGATAAGAATCTGGACCGGGACTAACTGAAATATTGAACAAAACTTAGGAAAATTATATTATATTTCATATCACCATGTTGYAGCCAAAATTCATCAACCAAGAGACACACAGAGTTAATAAGTGTGGTTCTATTTACAATCAGCAAAATATTAAGTATACGGTACATTACAAAGCTACTATCTACTGGTTACAAGAAATAAATATAGAAGATACAATTCAATTTACAAAATGTACCTTGTCGGTGAATTACACGGCTTGACTACAACATGAGAAAACTAAACGAATTTACATATTACGAACTACTAAGAACAGAATGCTATACTCAAGGGAAACATATCATTACGTACCAGTTACTTATCTGACAAAGGAAACCTAAACAGTTCTGCTCAAAACACTTAAATAGTCACATATTGTTATATACAATCAACACACCATGAAAATCAATTTCATCTAAATTTTCAGCTTCACACAAGAAGAGAAAACACAAGCGTCAAAGGTGAGAATTAATTGAAATAGTGTAATTCAAGTGAACATTTAACAGCAATGGTGATCTTTCACCTCTCGGAAGATGTAATCCAGTAGGCTTGTTGAAAACAGAATAAGAAAACAACGAAAAAATGTCAAAATGTTCTTTTAAGAATGACACAGCCAATCAGATATAAATCGTTGGTGAAGATCTACTGTACAGCAAATCCCATTCAGAATAAAATAAATAATTAGTTTTAGATTCATGTTTACTTCAAATGTCAAACTTCATAACTACTGTACTGTTTTGCATTTAAATTAATGCACGAATTTGGTTGCTTTCTTGTCCATAGGCACATCACAGTTCACCTTGAAGTGTTTTTGTTTGTTTGAAATTTTTAACACAAAGCTAAAAGTCAGTTTGATATTTGGCGCTATTTACATCTCTGTTAACTACATTATTCTATAATTCATCTCTTTTAGAATTGAATTAAGAGTAAAGAAGGCTGGGCATAGATCAAGAGAGCCAAGTATAGGAGATCTTGAGGTAGGCTTAAGGGAATTTAAACATGCTAATTAATTTTGKGTAATAATTCTACTTACAATGTTTTTAATAAGGTTTCTGAATGTAAATGTGATTTGATCAAGGGATATTGATTGATGGTGTGATTAAATGAGCAATTGATTGTTTAAATGATTGGATGTTTGATTGGTCTAGCAATGAATTGTGGGTGGAATGATAAATATGAATTATTAGATCATTGACTGGCTTGTTGATTTGATGGATTGATTGATCAATCAATCGATCTATTGCTTGGTTGGTTGGTTGATTGATCGATCGATTGAATAGTTGATTGATGGATTGTTTGATGGATTGATTCATTGATTGATTCATTGATTCATGGCTGGTTCTTGTTTTCTCTGTAGGATGATCAAGATGACTGAATAAACAATTGTATATAACACCAAATGTAAATATTCTTATAACAACTGCAAAGAAAAAAAACAATGGAACCTCTACCTTCCCAAATAGAAACAGCAGCAGCAACAACAACAACAGTGGCAACCACGACAACTTAACAGAAACAGCTACAACAACACAACAGCAACAATATTGGCAACCACAACAACTTAACAGAAACAGCAGCAACAATTGCAACAGAAACAGCTACCACAACAACAACAACAACAACAACACCAGTGGCATCCACAACAACTGAACAGAAACAGCTACAACAACAGCAACAACAACAACAACAGTGGCAACCACAACAACTTAACAGAAACAGCTACAACAACAGCAACAACTGAACAGAAACAGCTACAACAAAAGTAGCCACTAGAGATGAAACAACAGCAATAGCAAACAATAGCAGCAATGCCATCGGCAGCAATAACAACAACTACAGTACATTGAATATTTTTATACAGATCACATTTTAGCTGTTCATGGTTATCATAAGATTTTTACAATGAATAAATTTTGCAGGGATCAATGTATGTTCAAATATACAGGAACAAAACAGAGTTGTCTAATTTTGCTAGTGAACAACTGACATTTATTGGTCACATGACCCTTTTTCTCCCTTATAAGGACTTGCCAAAAATATAATGCCAATAGCAGTGATGACTGGTCAGAAATTAACAGGGGAAGAGGTTATGGAATTAGGAATAGGGTTGCTTATTTTTTTAAAACTCCTTGAAAAGGGCCGAGGGTTTCATACAAAAAGACTATGGAAAGGAATTTAGATGGGTCTCACCATTTTTTTTTTTGTCATTTAATTTTGGAGGTCTTTCAACTTTGTACTATGTGTYTATTTCAAAAAATCTTTTCCCTTCCTACTAATTTCCAACCATCTAATCCTTGAGAAAGATAATACTTAAAATTGTTTGGTTAGGCTTTAGCATAATATGATGAAGAATAGAAGGCTGGCATGATGTAGTAAAAGGATAATTAAGCAATAAACAACACAYTTTCATGCATTCCTGGTAAAATATAACACGTGGAATGTTTGGAAACATGAAAAAGACATAACCGGCGAGAGATTTTCAGCCTTTTGAGTGTTTTCGCAATATCCCAAGTGGTTTATTTCACCAGGATGAACGAAAATGTGTTGTTTATTGCTTTAAATTATAGYGTTTTTGCATCCTTGCTTTTACCGGTGAAATAAACAATAACATTAGACCAATCAGAGAGCAAGTGCTATGATAGTTATAATATAATAGCCTCTAAAGTATGTCAATAGCTATTTCAAATATAATTGTTTCTTTCATATCTGTGACTTTAATGAAGAAAAACCTTAGATATTGTCATGTGGTAATGCCACACACAGTCAATCCCATTTAATGTATGTTCAGTGTTAAAGAGAAGTTTCCAAATGTTAAACTCTCAGATAAATAACAAATCAAATGTTGGTCAAATCAAATGTAACAAATAACACATCAAATATTGCAACTTAGTTGAAAGTTCTTGCCAAAAAAGATATGGTATGTGAAAATGATGATGATGTTGTTTTACAAAGTTAATGGCATTGACTATGTAGGGTCCATTGGCAACGATGCATTGCAGTCTAGGAATGCACTATTTAATGACCCCAGGCTAGTGTTGCAGTATTCAGTACTCGGCAGTTTTTGAAATAACCATATATAATTACAATGAATAGCCTGACATCTTGGAGTAATAATGACCCTTTGCAAAATGATGTTAAACCAGATTCATCTTACAAAATAAGAGACTTTGGATCCCTTGGGAACTAGAATCCATTGTTATGTCCAGTACCCTCCTGTTAGAGAACCCTTCGTATTGACCCCTTGGGTATTCTTTTGGCTGAGTGGGGGCGTGACGTAATCCCATAAACCCTTACGGTCAGAAAACAGGTAGAACYAAACATACAAAGGAAAACAGCTGCTATATTCCATGAATTTTATAAAGCTAAATATGTAGAAACAGGGAGGGTTATGGACAATTCCTGAGGGGATGGGGGAAGGTGAGCCTCCTTACTCCATTTCACAAAAATACTTCTTGTCCTAGTGCATATTCTACAACAATTCCTTACAGAGCTCGCATTCGCTAGTATATACCGAAGGAACGTGGTCCCAGGTACCGGATTGACTCTGGCTTAATGTTTTTGTTTTTTTTCATTTTACGTTAACTTGAATTAATTAAAGGTCAATATATTTATACTTGTAGGTTATAAGATCTATTGTTCATGTCTGTGCCTCGAGTCCTCAGGATTTTCTTCAGGGAAGGGGGGGGGGGGGGGGTATGGACCCCACAAAAATTGTCACATAGAGGAAACGCAATTTGTGTAAATGAAACTAAAAAAATTGTTATTTGGTGAGATGCACTGACGAACGAACGAACGAAATGTTATGTTGCTGTTCGAGGCATATGCCGCACATAAAATACTATGAAAAATATATAAGTACATGCAAATTTAGGTTTCAAATGTACATTTTTCTTTATTTTTAGTTTTTTTGTTTTCGTCGTTAAATTAAAACTGGAATTTTCTAGGATTTCCTTGCAAGTGCATGCTGGGGTCTATTATTAAAACTGCTTTATCGTAAACGTTTGACAAATTAAATTATAGGAGAARTCATTAAATCCGTGAAACAAGATTTAGAGTACCCTCATGCGTACTGTAACTATCTATTTCAGGGKTTTTTTCGGAAATAGAGTGCATTCATTATTAGAGAAAACACTTAACCCGTGAAACGTGAAGACTGAAGTCATTAAACCAGTGAAAAAAGTGAATAGTTGTATTAGTCAAATATTCGATTTCACGGGGTTTTCGAAACCATCAATATTAATCCCTACTAAAAGCTTCACGGGGTTAAGTGTAACAGTAGAAAATTGCAAGAGTTTACAACTGAGTTTAAACAGAGACGGAAAACGGATTTTGTAGAGAATGCGCACATTTTTTTGATCGAAATGTATATTTCATACATAGAGTGAAGTTATTAACCCATGAAACAATTATCGACTATTATGTGTGATCATCATCATCATCATTTTGCGACCCTAGTGGACCGGGGCCCACTCAACGAAATAGACACAAAAGAAAACAATGCAATTAAGGTGTAATAGTGTTTCACGGGTTTTTTAGATTGGTTTTCATTAACCCGTGAAACACACTTTAGCATATTTATCGCTATTACACTTTTGCTGATCTATTTTTTTTTATTGTCTCTACGCGACTATTACGATCTATTACACTCTAATTATTACACTTTGTTTCACGGGTTTATGAAAACCACTCTAACTTCACTCTTGTCGACACAGTACCGAGATCAGAAACTGCAGAATGAAATTGCACGAGTTTAAATAACAGAAGAAATCGGTCGGCGGATTTTGTATAGTATGCACACATTGCTTTATTCGCAAAGTATATTCCACAGATGTATAGTGATCTACCATTTCCCAACTGCTAACAATCTGTCCATTCCAAAACCAAATAAAATCATACGAGTGCCAACCATTTAACACTGACCAACAAAGAGGAATTTTTGACACGCGATATAACATTTTATCTCAAACCCTAAAATTGTCTATGAATATCAGATAAATACTTGTATTATATAAAGGCTAAAGATTAAAATTACGTAGGGATTAATTCATYCCCAACAGGGATGCTGCTGATTGTCCATCGAACAGTAACGCTATTTACACGTGGTCATTTTTGCAGCAGATAATTCACTATGCCAGGGATAATATATAAATCACCATTGAAACGAGGCCATTAGGTGAACAGTTATTACCCAAAACGAGACTTCATTGAGTTTGCATGTCAAATTGCCCTATTTCATTATGACGTCATAACATTTGATTGTTTTAATACTGAGGATTACGGTATCAAGATGGAACAGAGTAACTTCATATTAAATGAAATGTACATGCATGGGTAATCTTTGATGCACGACATCTGTCAAGACATATTTGCAATGAAGTTCCTTTCGGAGGAAATATATAAATGCTTTCTTAGCGTCTTTTTTCGATGTTAACATACTGTGACGTCATCWTGAAATAGGGCAATTAACCAATAGGGAACTTTATTATAATGCATAATACTCCTTGAAGAYTAGTAAGTTCGCTCGCGATTTATGTGCATACAGCTATTTCAGAAAAAAAGTTGAGAACTGAAAATAGTATATTCCAATACCGAAATGCATTTTTGTCCGTCCTACTGAACTCTCCAAAGGTTTCATTGTTTCAGAGTGATCACGGTAGCTTAGCAACAGGCCTTTGCATGAAACGGTCACATGACACTAAATCCGCCATTCTGGAGAGCAAAAAATGTAAACAACCTTAAAAACTAAAGAAAAGTAGCMTGTCAAGCTTGATGACTTTCAGTTTGTTTTGAACATCCCAGTGGGAAATTTGTCCTCCAKAATGGCRGATTTAGTACMATSTGACTGTTTCATGCAAAGGGCCTATTCCTATCCAKACTCRCTTGGTTAAACACGAAACAATGGCTTCAGTTCAAGGCTGGAATTTCCAGTCTCGCATATGCTGATGGTACCACAATATTYAGTTCTCAACACCTTTCCATATTCTTTTGAATATAGAAATATAATTACGCATATGCATGCATTCTTTTCTCTAGAGGAATTCAATAGCGAGTTATAATAACCCCTAAGAAATTTCAAATAAGACTTCTAATTAAATTGATTACACCAACAAATAGAATCAAACATTGTACCAACATCGCAAATCCTGACRTCATTTTGTACTCTCTTTTTAACAYTGTAAATTCTACCACCCAAAGTTTTTCCATTCCTCTGCAAGTACATGAAGTGGTGCAAGGAAATTAGTCACTTKTCAAGCTACCTCTTCGAGTCAGCGTTACTTTAAAGGTGTGGCCACAACAGGGGCAGCAGGGAAGCGCCTTTTCCTCCTTCTTGGGGATGTACCAGCACTGGAGACATCTGATACGGTATTTCTTATACCGTATTCCACATGCATTACACAGGGGAGTACCGTCTTCTGCATCTCTCCAAAGGGGTGTTTTTCCAACGCCGCAGGATGCGCACTCTTTCTCTAAATGAAGAGGAGCCACGCCCAGCTCAGGATCAAAGCAAGGATCGCTGCACAAATAGTTTGGTGACTGKCCTAATTTGTAAATAGCTGGATTGAGCTTTGGAGAGCATGATCTTCGTCTTGACGACGGCGAGGTATTCCTCTTTTTCTTCTTTCCTGAAAAAGAACAGTCGATGACTAGCTGGGATTTTGTCCCCTCGTGCTTTCCTTTGCCTCTCAATAKTGGTTTYATCTGGAAGGTTACGCCTTTGAAGTCAGGGTCGCTTTCATTGACGCTCTTCATTGGCTTGAGAGGCTTTCGTGGGCTTTGGCGCTTATGAGARGTTTTCTGTGGTGTTTTAAAGAATGCTTTGGTGCGTCCAAAGAACGATGTAAAGTTGCCTGTAAACTTCAGATATCCAGGGCTATCGTCTTCACTAGATTGAAAATATWCATCAGTGATAATTTTAATGGAGTCATTTTTCATTTTACTGTGAAACTATGACTAGAGCTCATAGATCGTCTCAATCGCCCCAAAACGCGTTTGTCCATTTAAAAATACCTTGAGGGTGCTAGAATAATGGCAAACATGTTTGGGACGTTCGTATAACACAGCCCCAAAAAGGTTGTAGGAGTGAGAAATTCAAATGCACGACCGAAAGTTACATTGGGTATTAGTTGTTTATGGTATAAGATCATAGTCACCAAAGTCAGTCAATACTTCGTTGCCAGTAGACCTCAGCTGAAGCTTTACGTCATGCACCTTATACGCAATGCATTGTAGGAAATGTTTGGGACAGAACATGGCGGATTTTGATGTGTTTTCTCGAAAAACTGATCCCAGAATGCATTGAAAAGGTCAGAAGTACCTCTAAAGGCCTAAAGTGAAGATCTTCAATTATGCTTGCTTGGTTTGGCCGTGTTTAACGCAAATCAGTAAATATTACACATTAAAAAAAACAAAACAAAAAAAAACACCCAAAACAACTTTCGTTTCGTGTGAATCGCTCTGACAGCCGTTTCTGAAATAGCTATATACAGGGCTTGGTCAAATTAACAATTAGACCTCGAGGTCGAGTGGACTACGAGCTCGTAGTCCACGAGGCCGAGAAGTCTAATTGTTTTAGTACAAACATACTAATCGGTCAAATAATGAAAACAAATTGAAATATCCTTAAAATAATTTATTAATGAGATTGATTTTCCCGCGAGTGGTCTAYCACAAATTAGTATAAACATACTAATGGTCTATCACTCATACTGCGCTGTGATTGGCTACTCTACTAATGGTGAAAAAGTGATGAAAAACGTTGTTTTCATTTCAAACATTTCTGAAAGTAATATAGTTAACCGTGATTCGAAAAAATTAGTCGAGAGTCGTGAAATAGCCAAATTTTTAGCCGTGAGTCGTGATTCGTACCACCCCATTGAGACCCTCTAAGAAAAGAACAATTATTTTAAGTGCCGATTATACTTTGATTGGTTCTACATAGTGACTCGATCATCTCAACCAAATTGTTTCGTGAAATTATACAAAACTCTTTTCAAAGAACTAAACTAAACAATGATAATAAATAAAAAAACACAAATACCAAGATGGGAATCAAGAGAAAAGAAAAAACAATGGTTGTAATTACGCGTAATAATAGAATTTTATAAACAAAGCTGTTTATGTACAAGAGACCTAGAAGAATGTGCTTTCGCCCATGCTAAATAGTTTCATGCAAACCTGCAGGGCCACTTGTGAAAACACACCAAATKTAGCGTCCAAAGCAAGTGTTTTGATTTTTTAAGTGTAAAAACGGCTGTTTTAGGTTCAAAAACAGTGCYACAACACTCTAAAAAACAGGTGGATTACTCAAAAAAACTTTGTTGGATGCTAGTCTAACCCGGATTCAGATGAAAAGATTTTTCAAAATGGCTCCTATTTTATTCTGCTAAAATTTCAGAACGCTGGCTCAAAAACCTTAAAATGCCTTTACCAAGATTCCTTAGCTTTAAATAATCTTCTTGGAGTTACAAATTCTATTTCTACTTTTAATCTCAAGCAAAACAATAAGATACAAACCTTGAAAATGAAGATGATGCGTTCGATAATCCATCATCATTGAAAGAGAAGCTCGATGAAYGCGTTGACGTGGGACTTGTTTTCTCTTTTAYCATTGAAAATTGACCAAAAGARCTATCATGAAACTTGGGAAAGAATCCTTCATATCTATTGAGTTCTGTGATTGTCGAAGGCTCATAATTTGAGGTAAAGAACGAGCGTTTTTCCATGAYGGAACTCATTTTTCCAGCCACGAAGTCAATCGTACAAAGAATCAAAGCCGAATGAAGACGGCGTGCAGATCTTTCAAATTTGATTTACGCGCCTCGCTTCATCCAGCCAATCAGAACACGGCGTTGTGGCGGGAAGGCAGAGCTTTGGCCTCCCACTGTCATTTCGCGCCAATATTATTTTGTTTTGTTGTCTATGCCCGAACAATTTTTAACAATAAAACAGATTGTTTTTCCCAAAGAGAAAGAACTGAGACGAAATATACCCCAGAGTGTCGGTAAGGGAAGGTTTGTTTATTACTGGGGTGGGAGGGGTGGGAGGGCTGGAGTTTTCAAAAATTCAACGACAATGAAAAATACCCGAGCCTCGGTGCAAAGMTTAGTTGAATAGAACCACAGGTTTATAAAGCCATAGGTTAAAACTTAAAAACTAGAATGACCCTCTCTTCTAGATAAGCTTTCGTGCGAAGATGCGATCCTCCCATAAAGCTTGCATATCCCTCCCCTGTCCCACTCCAGCCCTCCCCAGCCCAATAATAAACTTACCTTCCCTAAAAAGAGAAATGCATAGTATTTTTTTAACCATTTTCTCTCGATTTTCTCGTACAGTATTTTATTTCTATAATAAAGGTCGAATATTATCATGATTTATTCTTTTGCTTTCAACTAAATTCATCCCCAGTCTCCTGAAATGTCTCCGTGAGTCGACGAAGTCGACGTGGCGTTCGAAAGAGAAAGTATAACGGGGGAGGGGTAAAAACGAAATTATAGTATCTTCAAATAATATGTTATTTYTCCACAAAAACGAGTGCATATTTCAAACCCATATTCAAATGCGTACCAATACAAGAAAAAAAATGACTATTGTATATCTCACTGTAGTTTTGTGCAGGTTTCAGATGATTCCCAAAATGATACTCCCTCCTCTCCCTTAAGCAAAAATTGTTGTCTATCACATCAGACCCACTTGCAGTGTTGTAAATTGGTGTCCTCAAAGAAACCGAGGATAAAAGAGAAATCAGGATCGCCGCTTGTATTACAGTTAACTTTGAACTAAGAGGARCACTTATAACGCATTTAATATGAGAAATATTTACTTCTTGGTATGTCTAATCGGTATATTCCTCATCGCCGGAACAGGTAAGCAATACATTTGTGAGTTGCGGGCATCATGAAGGCTACCAGTCGAGAATATGAATAAGCGGGCGGCAATTTTTTTCGGTAAACTGTTACTGTAACTATCCTTGTGTCAACAATAAGCTTAATATTTTGCATCTATGTACGCTTTAATGTATTTTTTGTGTCATTATTAAAGTCTGAAAGACTTTAGCTATTAATAAGTGCATATCTAACTAAAGCTAATWTTTYTTATGCCATTAAACGTCGCATTGTTTGTCAAACCGTCGACGATTTTCGCTTCCAAAAGAAATCTTGAATTAAATATTTTTTGKTAGATTCAGATATCGATATTTATAAACAACGAAAGAAACGAAGAGCAAAGATAAATTAAGGAAAAAGTCAGATTTAATGAATTCAAAAATGAAAATGTCAAAGAACTTGCTTGAGAAAAAAATATGGTATTAAGCTTGACAAGGGGCCTGTCATTCATCAAATCCGATGGTATTTATTGCATTAAAACCGAAACTCTGTGCAAAGTCGAAAACCGCAACCGAATGATACTTCACAACCGTACAAAAATGAGAGCAATCTTATACCGTCTGATAACCAATTCTAATATCAGAAGAAATTATCAGGGCCTGTCATTCATCAAATCCGATGGTATTTATTGCATTAAAACCGAAACTCTGTGCAAAGTCGAAAACCGCAACCGAATGATACTTCACAACCGTACAAAAATGAGAGCAATCTTATACCGTCTGATAACCAATTCTAATATCAGAAGAAATTATCAAGCCGCCAACCTATAATAATAGGCACCCAAAATTTGAGAAATGGGAAGTTATCGTAAATCATCTATGAGATGCAGTATAATGTCTCTCTTTCGATGACAAGAACACATTTTCTCTAATTAATATTATATTGTACAAAAAGGGTATTTTACGACATAATTTGCTTTCATACATAAAATTTTATATGATAAACCGAATATTACATGGCTGCTTGGAGATATGAATTTTTAATTTTTTTCTTGTGTTGAAAATCTCTCACTTGTTTGCTACATGTACGCTCATCACTCGTGAAAGGTTTTTTCAGAACTTGAAGATAAAATGCGTATCTCCACGCGCACATGTGATATCCTTTATTATTATCATACTATTATCATGAAAAATGACTTTTGAAAACTTAAAAGCTTATTATTGGCTATATTTAGCATTTTTTGAATGAAAGSTGTGACTACATAAGACAGCCTTTTTCTGTTGTCATCATGATTTTACTTATTCAGCAGTTGAGACAAAATCTTCACAATTTCACTGCCACGGACCCTGCAACTTGGTATTAGAACACAGTTTTTTTTTATTTTGGTTTGCCTTGAGAAAGAGCAAATGGGCGATTTACACCTACTGGTCATAGCAAGAGTAGCATTTTCCCCTGCAAGACAGAGAGTCTCTTTTAGAACTTGACTTTTTCATTCATTATAATAGTGAAAAATATAGACTCCACAAGACTTAGACTTTTTCCCCCAAAAAAAGAGACTGTGATACCATTAAAATGGTACTTGTAATTTTTGAAAAAACGTTCACGGGATTGTTCTGTAATTTTTATGAATAAAATGGCATTTATTAGGAATTTGAGTGTTAAAACTTTTTTTAGGAAATAAGGATATAATAATCAAGGCAAAAGAATCTCAAACTTTACATCTTGGGCTGGATGTATGAAGGGTGAATAGCACATATTATATTATAACTGACACGTCATTATATTACTCAATTCTAACACACGTGCTGATTGGCAGATTTCGTGAGAAAAGCTATGGTTTATTTCGCCGGTAAACCAGCCTACTGTCTTGAAAGACTTTTGAGTCTAAATGGTGGACGCAAGCTATAATATAAAAGCAATAAACGATAGCTTGAAGCCTGACGGCTTGTGATTTACTGATCTTTTCTTGTGTTCTCCCAACCATCCCCAGTAAACTGCTTCAAGCTATCGTTTATTGCTTAAAGATAAATCCTTATCCAGCAAATAAAATCCATCCAAGAGTTGTAGATAACTTTGACTGGTGGATAACTGTCCATCTTTTGTACAACAGGCGCCTGTTCAATATGATTTAAGTAATGTTTACAACATGAGCGGCCGTGTTATATGGGATTTTACAATCTCGAGCCGAGTATGTAAAGCCCATACAACACGGACGCGAATGTTGTAAATTACTTGTGAAACGTTTAGGTGTATACATTCATAATCTACTAAAAAAATAAAGATAAAATTGAATTTGGCTGAGAAAATTAGATTTGAAGTTTATGTAAATCAAGACAGTTTTGTATCAAGTATTACAACACTCTTCACGGTTGTGAT